CCACAGCTTCATGCAAAGCACAAAGTGGGGGTAAAAGAACCTCTCCATATCTACAGTATATTTCAGCTGGGAGCCCATCAGATCCAGGAGATTTATTAGAAGGGGAGGCAGCCAAGGCCTCTGTAAGTTCCTCAATAGTAATAGGGGAGTTCATTGTGGCTATATCGGAGGCAGGTAATTGAGGAAAGAGGCAATTATCTAAAAAAGTCATTAGCTCTGATGTTGTGGTAACAGCCTTAGAAGCATAAAGCTCAGGGTAGAATTGGTGGAAGGTATCAATAATAGCAGCATTCGATGTAACCACTTCTCCAGTCACCGATGTAATGGCATCAATAGAAGAAGTATCCCGTTGTGCCCTAGCCACCAGAGCCAAAAGATGACCGGCATTTTCCCCCTCCTCAAAGTAATTTTGTTGTTGAAAATAGTGCTTCTTCCCCGCTGCGGAGAGAACTACTGTATTATACAGGGATTGTGCTTCCTCCCAACGCTTCTGAGTGGTAGGATTGGGGTTTGCCACTAATTCAATCTCTCTACGATGCACCTCCATGCGAACTATTGCTCTCCGGTATGATTAACCCTTGAAGGAACGCTTTAAGTGTGTCCCATAGGAAGCTGAGCCCACATTCAGAGTAAGGAAGTCAGTCAATGCCCTGGGAAGAGGGTCAGAGGGCAGAAAGAGTGTCAACCAAAATAGATTGACACACCAAAGAGGGCAAGTAGGCAGCACATAGGTCAATAAACGCACTCAGAACGGGGAATGGTCTGAAAGGAAACAAGGTTCATAGGCGGAGTCCTCTATGTAAGGCATTAACACAGAGTTACCTAAAGCCAAATGAATGCGGGACAAACCACCATGGGAGGCTGAGTAGCATGAGTAGCATTTAAGGACTGCATGTTTTTCCTTCCACTCATCTTCAAGACCTAATACAAGGAGCAGATTAGCAAAGGTAGAACACTGAGTAGCTGGAGGTGCAGAGGTGGGAGAACATGTATCTAGGGTGAGGTTTAAAAAATTGTTAAAGTCACCCAGCGCAAGGATTGGGACATTGGGATGTGGTGCTATAAACTGGGCAAGCCTTTTCAAAGGTTCTGAGGAGACGGGTGGAGGGATATACATGGCAGCAAGTATACAAAGAAAAAACATTCAATTTGCACACTATAAAAACATATCGACCAGTTTCATCAATCTGCTGCTTTAGTCACACAAAGGTGATCCTATTTGAAATCAGTACAGTCACTCCTCGAGAAAAAGAATATATGAAATGAAATTGGGTGGAGAATTTTCAAGATCGCACCAGATAGACAGAATCAGGTTTTAAATTAGTTTTTTGCAGACATATTAAGGAGGGCTGTAGACAAGTAAAATAACTAAATATGGCCTAAACTCTCTTGGTCTTGTCATTTAGGCCATGCACATTCCAGGACAATAAGAGTAAACTTCTAGGTGCTGTATCCGGCATAAAATAGAGTAACAATAAACCAGAGGGGAGTCCAAGGGCTTCCTCTTCTGTGCAGGGTAAAGGCCAATGCAAATTTTAGCAAGGCTATTGACACCAATAATACATGGAAATTCCAAATTACTCTCTTATAGCTAGAGTGGAGGTCAATAGACAGCTAGCAATGTAGAAATACATCCGAATGCAATAAATAAACATGGTAAAACACAGTAGTCATGAACAACTGGACCAACTGGGTCCAAAAAGGCACAGCGTTCCTCATAGTAGAGGAACAATGGGGTCCACGCAGGAGGAAAAAGTCTCTGGTCAGGTGAACGATACCCAATGGTATATTTCGTAAGCAACAGGGGTATAAAAAAGTTATAACAGCCATAGGAATATCTGCTATTTAGAGTGAAGCTCGTAAACCATCATACAGAAGAGAAAGAAGAAGAACACCCAGCTATAAAGTTGGAGTAAGGCATCCCAGGTTAAGCTCCTCTCTGTCTAGCCAGTTCATAGCTGCCGAAGGATTGTCGAAGAACTGGGAAGTGCCATTTGCGATGACCTTTAGCTTAGCAGGGTACAGCATAAAATATTGAGTGCCAAGAGCATGCAGCCTCTTCCTGATATCCAGAAATTCCGGCCACTGGCACTGAACCTCATCAGAGAAGTCAGGTAATAGGGAGATTTGGGCGTTATCCATAGAGAGATTCCTCAGTTGTTTTGACCCTGGTAAAGATAGTGTCCCTGTCTTTATAGTTAAGTAAATGAAACAGGAAAGGTCTGTGACACATGTAGAAGGCGGTCTCATGGGAACCCTGTGGACCCTCTCCACAGCAAACATGAGAGAAAAGGTGTCCCTCCCAAAAGTAGCCACCAGCCAAGACTCAATGAATGCCACAGGGTTCTTCCCTGCTGCCTGTTCAGGAATACTCACTACTCTCATGTTATTCCTGTGGAGGCGGTTTTCTAGGTCCCCCAGCCTGGCAGCATTGGTAGAGGACATAGATTGTATGTAGCGAACATCACGCTGCAATTCATCCTCTATTGTGCTAACCTGCCCCTCCAAACCCGAGGTACGTTCTCAGAGCTTCCGCATATCCTTGCACACTAGGGATACTTACGCTTTCTTTTTTTTCTTTTTGCAAATTTAAAGCTGTAGTAAACCGCAGGGAGAAAAAAAGTCCCCTGCAAGGTAATGTCATAATGTGCTAGTATGCATCGCATGCTAGCACATTATGTAAAACTTACTGTACCTTAAATGTCCTCCAGCGGCGCGCTGTCACCACTGCAGAAGCTTCCATCTTCACCTGGTCTTCCTTCTGGGTTTGCGAGCTCTGGTCGTCTGACAAGTCAGGCCACAATGACATCACGCCCACGCATGCGTGCGGGAGTCCTGGGCCCACGACACTGTACGCCGGCTTTAAAAAAGAGAATATCTCCTAAATGGTGCACGTTTAGGTGATATGCATTTTACCTACAGGTAAGCTTTATCATAAGCTTACCTGTAGGTAAAAGTTAAAAAGACAAGTTTACTACCACTTTAAGTTTATTAACACATGGCAGTATCCATGACAGAAAATATATATACATTTCCAGATACAAAGGCAATAGTCAGTTCAGCATCAGGATACAAAAAAAACCCCCCAGAACATTCAAACAAGACAATCAGGTTTCGAAAAAACAATCCAGAGATCAAATCTTCAAAGAAAAATAACCCAGACGAAAAGGACAGTACACATAACCCAAAACAATGTAGCCCTGTATCCGAGAATTATTTAGCTGTAAGTCCCTAAAGGGGAAAATAATGGTACTGCCCCATTCAGTTTTTATAGGTAAAAGCAGAACACAAAGTAGGACAGCTAGGAAGAAAAGAGACAGAGGGAAAAAGGGGAAGGAGAGAGGGGAAGAAAAAAAAAGGGGGGGGGAATCCGATCCGAGGGGGGGGGGGGGTAAATAATAATAGTTCACTCAGCAGGGCCCAGCTCACAGAGGGCTTTACCCTCCTCAGAGTAGACAAACATATTCCACAAACCCCACGTTTCTCATTTGTGTTGTGAATTCAGAAACAGATCCCCCATCTGATTTAATTCTTCCACTTTCATAAGCCATAGTCGGATGGACAGAGGTTGTGTACTTTTCCAAGTAAGAGGAATACAAGATTTGGCAGTGTTAGAAGAAGGTGGCGAAAGATTGCCTTTTTGTATACTTTGGCTGGTATACTGAAAGTGTGTAAAAGAAAAAAAGGCCGTATCATCCGGCACCACATAGTCAGTGAATTTTTGGGTCAGTTGGCGGACCTCCGTCCAAAACCCAATCAGCTTAGGACAGGACCAGAAAATTTATAGTAATGTTCCTCACTCATTTAATGGCCGTACTTATGAAAATTTTATGGCGGCCAGGGACCACCAACCCCCTGACTTGTTTAGAAAGATTTCCATTTTCATGCTCTTGACTACCCCTGTCAAATCAGCAATGGAAGAGTTGTAGGTGGTAATAGCAGAGAGAATAACTTGCAGGGTAGGTTCAGGGCCTGGGTCAACAGACTGTGTGGCAGGTGCCATTGTGGATGGGGGGGGGGGGGGGGGGGGATGGTATACTCACAGAGGGGTTGACCACACCCCCTGTGTGAGTTTGAATAAACAGTTATGCCTTTGGTTTTACCTCAACATCTTGTATGTGTATGATGCTTGGGGTAAAGGACTGGTATTAGCTATTGGTGGATGGAAGGGTTTGAATTGCAGCAGGCACTGTTTGGCAGATGCACCCAGTCTAGGTGCCAAGCATTCCATCACAAGGAACATCTGACTTACTCTCCTTCCTCTAACCTGACAGCACTGGTGCTTATAGATTGGCTGCCCAGACACTTAGCATTGGAAGGTCTCAGCCCATGGAAGCCCTAAGGGATTTCTCTTTTTCCCTTTTCTGCGCCAGTGTCGTAATGGAGTGGCAGGGAGCAAAGGATAGATATCTGCAGCTGAGAAGGACAGCAGCAAGCCTGTGGTTTTTCCCTTTATGAGCCCAAAGTAACTTGTGAAAAGCAATGTGTAATTACTGTCATACATTAAATTATTTTCTGTCTGATAAATGCCATAAGTAGTATTTAAATAAAGTAGCTGCTGACAGAGAACAAAGCACAGGATATGCCTAATATAAATATTCAGCAACAATTCAGGGATCTCAATGTATGGTGCTGTCATTGGTGCAGAAGGCTTCTCAGATGTTCAGTGAGCAAATTCAGAAGGTGAGCTGTTAACTTGTTTGGTCATACATATGTCACCAAAAACAACACTGCATCATGCAAAGAGATTAAAGGTGAGCATAGAAAAAAATATGGAAGGAACTCCAAAACTGTACCTTACAGTGATTGTAGAGTATGTTTAGCTTTTCACTGTGTTTCTTTGCACCAATAAGGTGTTTTACTATATTTAGGTGACATATAAGCCTTTGATAATGCATGCATGAAAAAGGTTCCATTCCTAACTGACATAAACTATTTCTCCTGTTATTCATGTTAGCCATTTGAATAAAAAAAATGGTGGTTTATTTTCTGTTCTATAGGTGCAGTTAATTAATGATGCCTATAATCTAGTGGTGGACGCAGTGCTGGGCATTGAGGCAAATAGCGAAGAAGGTAAAGAGCCATGGGCCACTATTTTGGGAATAATGAAACAGATAAAGATACCCATTATCAGTCTGGATATTCCATCAGGTGGGTGCCCATTTTTTTCATAATCAGAGTTCACAGTGTGAATTTTTTAAGTTCACATATTTATAACAATGCGCACTAACCAGAAACGTATTAATAATACGCATGTGTATATGATATCATGGAGATTCCCCTCTCTTTTCTGGTCTGGTAATGGGCAGGAGCTGAAGATAGTAGAGATGAAGCGCCCTTGTGTGGCGAAATGGAGGTCCAGCAGGTCACAGAAATCCTTACAGAAGTGTGTGAAGTGGAAAATTCCTCCTCTCAAAGGCTGGTGCAGGGATCAATCTGGGTCTGCAGAAGCTGAAAAGGCTCATCGCAGAAGACACAGGAAAGAACCCATAGTGTAGTAGGTTGATGAAAATGATTTTATTCAAGAAAAACAGGAGTGTTCAGGAAAAACTCACAATGGTGCCAGGTTTAATCAAATGATTGACCCTTTAAGATTAAAGATGGCCACCAGGCCTCCACGTGGCACCGGCGGCGTAGTGTCAATGGCGTCCTGGGCTCCAGCTGACGCGTTTCGTGCGCACGCACTTCTTCAGAGGTAGAGCTGAGGATCCTCTGAAGAAGTGCGTGCGCACGAAACGCTTCAGTTGGAGCCCAGGAAGCCATTGACACTACGCCGCCGGTGCCACGTGGAGGCCCGGTGGCCATCTTTAATCTTAAAGGGTCAGTCATTTGATTAAACCTGGCACCATTGTGAGTTTTTCCTGAACACTCCTGTTTTTCTGGAATAAAAATCATTTTCATCAACCTACTACACTATGGGTTCTTTCCTGTGTCTTCTGCGATGAGCCTTTTCAGCTTCTGCAGACCCAGATTGATCCCTGCACCAGCCTTTGAGAGGAGGAATTTTCCACTTCACACACTTTTGTAAGGATTTCTGTGACCTGCTGGACCTCCATTTCGCCACACAGGGCGCTTCATCTCTACTATCTTCAGCTCCTGCTCATTACCAGACCAGAAAAGAGGGGAATCTCCATGATATCATATACACATACGTTTCTGTTTAGTGCGCATTTCTAACTTTTGCACTGGGAATCAGCGAGCACCATTACTGGACTGTGATTTATTTATTGATTGATTTATTTATTCATTTACTTTGGTTTCATTTATTATTTATATCTGCCCGCAATATAGTAACATCACACAGCGCTGCATTTTCTTTATATATATATTTTTGGGACTTTTATGTGTTTTCCTTGAATGTTCAGCTGCTGACTATTGGAGCGCTCACTGTATTTTTTTATACTCTCATATATTTATAACAATGCTTCAGCTAGTTACTGTGGTTGCGTCATAGCATACATAAGTACCTAAACACATATAAAAAGGTATGGACAGCATGATTATTGGACAAACCTAGGGCAGTTGTACTTACAGTAAGTCTGGTCCTCATATACTTCACTATAGCCATTGTAAAGGTCAGTTTCTTAACAACTGACTTTAAGGTGAATGGCTTGATACACTTGAGTTCCTATCTATGCAGGCGCTGACATTGCTGTCCCTATTTATGTTTATTGCTAACCCCACTACCACTCAGTAATAAAATGTTTGCTACCTACAGTAAAGGTTCTGTAATAGCATTTATTCTAATGCCTGCTTACAACCACATATGTAAGCATTTTACTTAGTAATTTGCAAAGAACACTTTAAATTATTTGATCTGCGAGTCTCCAAAGAAGATTGCAAATTATGTACTGTAAGGGAGACTTAAAATCTGAAATTAATGCCTTAGGATCACATGTAATGTAGAAAACAATGAGAGCATGCATGCAAAATAACATACAACAATCAATGATTTAATTTACCAGAAGACTTTCACTGAAACAGAATTCCTGACTTTCACGATGGCAGCTCTCCACCTTGGTTCCTTACTTTTTTCTGAGTGAATGAGTGGTAAGCAATCAAAGCCCTTGCTGAGCTATGTAACAGTCTACACAATAGGCTCAGTTTGCCAAGATGGATGGCTTATTATTTCACCGCTAACTATTTCTTATGCTATAGTGCCAGACTCAGCCTTAGTCAGAAACTCACAGGACATTATTGTATGCTGTTGCTGTTTGGAGAATGCAGCTGCCCCACTGCAGCTACTATTCACTATACTATTCTGTCCAGCTACAGCCTTGGTAGTCTCATTAGCACCATTGAAGTCAAACAGTGGGCCCAGTCCACAACCTTTAAAGAGTATTTCCACTTTTGTAGCCAAATTGAGCCAATACCTATTTTATATTTGTTATATGTTCCCATAGAATAACTTAAACAATGCAGTCTTAATTCGTTTTCCCCTTCTATGTAGAGTTAAGGAAAGGAATATGGAGCTCTTGTCATTTGTTACCTAGATGTGCACACTGTCTGTCCTAACAAAGAGTTAAAGATCTTAAAGCTTTCATGTTACATTGTATGTTAATGCACTAAAAAATGCCCTTCACTTTGTTCCTCTAATTGGCACATTTTTTTAACGCCGCTTAAGGACCGTCCTATAGCAGAAATACTGCTACAGGGCGCCACCTGTGCACAAAATCACTTATATATATACATGATTTTGCATTTCCGGGTAGGGGGCGCGAGCGAGCCCTACCCGCGCCACCATTTGCAGCCACGGATGTCAATCACCGGGTCCCGGCCAGTAATTACCCGCCGGTGCCCGGTGATTACCAACAATCACCGACGGGGAGGAAGACTGTTTTGTTTACAAATAGTCTTCCTCCCTGTCAGCTCGGGCACACTGCTCTGGATGGTTGTGCACAGCACAGCCATCCCAATCAGTGTGATTACAATAAAAACACACCCCCCACCCCCTAGTAAAACACTCCCAGCACATAGTTAACTCTTTGATCGCCTGTCCAATGCCATTAGTACAGTGTCAGTGCTTTTTTTTTTTTTTTTTTTTTTTTTTTTAGCACTGATCACTGTATTTGTGTCACTGGGGATGTCAGTGACACCAAGTTAGTTCCCCCCCAGTGTCAGAATGTCCGCCACAGTTCCCCTGATTGCTGCCATTACTAGGTAGGAAAAAAAAAAAAAAATCCCAGTATCTATACCTCCATTTGTAAACGCTTGTAAACTTTCACGTCAACCAATTAATTTACACATATTGGGATTTTTTTTTAGCAAATACATGTAACAGAATACATTTTGTCCTAAATTTATGATGAAATTGGATTTTTACAAATTTTTTACTGGACATGTTTAATAGCAAAAAGTCCAAAATATTGTTTTTTTTTTCTCAAAATTGTCGGTCTTTTTTTGCTTATAGAACAAAAAATAGAAAACGCACAGGCAATCAAATACCACCAAAAGAAAGCTCAATTAAAGGGAAAAAAAGATGTAGATTTCATTTGGGTGCAGTGTTGCATGACCGCGCAATTGTCAGTTAAAGTAATGCAGTGCCGTAACACAAAAAATGGCCTGGTCAGGAAGGGGGGGGGGGGGGGGGGTAAATCCTCAGGAGGGCACGTGGTTAAACAAAAGAAAACTGCTTATAGAGTCATATGTATAAAGATGCTCTAAACAACAAAGAGAAAAGAAGTAATTATATATTTTTATAAATATTTTAGGTGTACTGTATGAATAGGAACAAAACACCAGTAAGGGATTCTCAAATTTGACTACAAAAGTAGAAATACTTTTTCAACTTTCACACTGATCCACCGTAAAAACACAGCAAAAACACAAAGACGTTTTTACCTTTGCCACACTTTCTGAGCGTTTTTAAAGGACATGTGACTTAAAACTGCACCAAAAATGCTTCTCAGGCGCGCAAGTGCAACTCCTCAGTGTGAAAACATACATAGATATATATTCACATACATAGGGAAGTGTTTCTCTTGAGCTTTTCAGGCACTTCTTTTAATGCAAAAATGCTTCAAAAACTTCTCTGTGTAAAAGCAGCCTTAGACCGATAAATAACAGTCTGTTTTCCTTTATTATCAGGCCATTTTCAGTTTTCAGGACAGGTCTAGTTTGAATGACAATTACTGCATTATGCAATAACATGAATAACCACTGGGTTCTTATTTTTGACTATATAAAAAAGTGAAAAAAACTGTCTCTTATCTTTTGGGTAAAAAAAAAAAAATATATACTGTATATATATATATATATATATATATATATATATATATATATATATATAAAATAAAGTGCCATGACATTACAAACGTTTCTGAAATGCCCTTCTTTTGGAAAGTAGACATGCTAAGGTGATCTCATTTATTGACACAATATTTTTGGGAATGAAGAACCAACCATGCTTGTATTGAGGTGGATAAATCATGGAGCATGGTAATGGTGCACTAGATACAGCACACCATTACCGTACAGGTCCTTCACAATGGGAAGAGGAGCTGAAGGGGGGTTAATGCACAGGTCATATTTAGTGGGAGGATGGAGATGAGGGGGTTAATGTGCAGGATAAATGAGGTGAACATTTTCACCATTTCAATACTGGGCAATTTTACACCTTCCTGCCCAGGCCATTTTTCACGTTTTCAGCGCTCTCACACTTTGAATGACAATTGCGCGGTCATACAACATTGTACACAAACTAAAATTTTTGCTAAATTAAACAAAAAAAGACCAAAAATTTTGAAAAAAAAACACGTTTTTCTTTGTTTCTGTTATAAAAGTTTACAAATAAATAATTGTTCTTCATAAATTTAGGCCAAGATGTATTCTGCTACATGTCTTTGGTGAAAATAACCCAAATTAGGATGTATTTTTTAGTTTGTAGGAAAGTTATAGAGTTCACAAACTATGGTATATATCTGAAAATTGATCAATCCTGAAGTACTGACAGCCAATCTAATTTCTTGAGGTCCAAGAATGTCAGAACAGTACAGATATCCCCCAAATGACCCCTTTTTGCAGAGTAGACAGTCGGACGTACTTCATGAGAGGCATGGCGAGTTTTTTTGAAGTTGTATTTTTTTGTCATAATTTTTCGGAAAATGAAAAAATGAAAAAAATTATTTTCACTATTTTTTTTTTACATACTC